TGTCGATAACTTTGAAGCTTTGATGTTTGACCATGCTGATAATTATGTTTAAGGAGCACATTTTATGGAGATAATTACAGAACAAATTAATAGACCCAAGTCAAACATTCATAAAAGATCAATAAATGAGATTGAAACAATAATAAAACTGATCAAACTTCTGTTAAAAGATTTATGAGTCTTGACCTCAGCAGATAGCAGTTGAGGAGAAAGATGAAAAATTATACATGTAAAGATTTTGTTTCATTTCGCAAGTACTACCCTATTTCATATTTCCTTATCTCTGTAAACATCAATGTGCTGTCTATTCTGTTTCGTGCTTGTATGAAATAAATTCTTTTTTAAAACTGCATGTACTGTCGGTGCATATGGATTGGGATATGAAATATGTTTCTGCAATAATATCAGGCTGACAACACAAGGTTACAATATTGAATTGGTACAACATGATGAACTTGCAACCTTGGATGAGTCGAATAGTTATGTCAGGTCCCTCTGACTTCTGACTTATTGAGGTTTGACTGTAACAAAGTAATGACCCCTTAATCATGCAGAATTTGTATGGTACCATCAGTTTTGGTCCAATTTAAACAAAATTGATGACAGTTTTTTGCATAATTTTGGCCGCAACTCCTGATCCAGAAAATATGTGTGCTCAGGGATACAAAATAATAATTGGTATCTTTTGGTTAAAGAACATTTTGCATTGCTCGTTTCGGCCAAGGTTTCCCTTAAGCTTTTATGTCACACAACTAGAGGCCTTCAAGAGCCTGTGTTGCTCACCTGTATCTACTGTGGTTTTGGAAATCATGTAAAATAAGGTTAAAATCTAATAGTATTAGATACCCCAATTATGATTGATTTTGATTTTGATTTTTGGTGTTTTAACACCACTTTTAAGCACCTCTTTTGGGCTATTTCGTTGCAGCCAGTTTTTATTGGTGGAGGAAGCCGGAGTGCCCGGAGAAAACCACGACCTTCGATAGGAAAACTGACAATCCAAGTCAATTAAGATTGGAGTCGAGTGCACCCGCATGAGCGGGGTTCGAACTCACAACGTCAGTGTTGACTGGCTAGTGATTACAGTAGTAACTACTTAGACCACTCGGCCACCGAGGCCCCCCAATAATGATTGAGACCAAGTTTGGTTTAATTTGGCCCAGTAGTTAAATAAAAAGCAGGTCATCCCATTGTAGTCTTACAATATTTACTGAAGACTCCTTATCATTATTTAAATTAGTTTTCAAGTTGTGACCAATTGAAATTGTTTTTTTACAATTTTCCCATAGACTTCTATAAAAAAAAACTATGTTCTATTTTTAGCCATGGCAGCCATCTTGGTTGATGGGCCGGGTCATTGGATACATTTTTTAAACTAGATACCCTAAGGATGATTTAGGCCAAGTTTGGTTTAATTTGGCCCAGTAGTTTCAGAGGAGAAGATTTTTGTAAAAGATTACAAAAATTTACGAAAAATTGTAACAATTCAGGGAGACAGCAAACCGGATTTTCCTGCAGAGGTTGAACCCTGAACAGTTGAGCAAGTATGGACACAACATTTAAACTTAAAACAGCTCTGAATTTGGATTGTGATTGAATATTTGATACAGCATAGGTTTGTGACACAAAATAAATGTGGTCAAAGAACTGAAAAAAGAGTAGGTCCAGTAAGGGCCGATTTTGGCCTCAAAATTCAGGTTCATCTGATGAAAGATTTTGGACACTTTTTAAACACTTAAGTGTCTACTTCAGTCGATTCAATTAGTATATGTGAAAGATTTGAACTGATTTAGTCATTAAAGACGCTCAAATTCAAGCTTAAATATGAAAAATCTATCAAATATGCCATAATATGTCACTTTTCAGATGGTTTTTGTCAAAAATGAAAGTGGCCGCATCCGTGTTCATTCTCAACCTTTATATATGTTATGTATTATCATCAAATACAACTTACATTTAAATATTAAGAATGAACACAAATGCGGCCACTTCCATTTCAGACGGAAACCGTCTAAAAATTAACCAAAATGCTAAAATTTCGAAGATTTCAGTAATTTAGCATGACTTAATGGTGCTAGTACCCGATACATGTGCATTGTATTGTCAAAAACAGCCCATATTTATGTTACAGAAGTATTCTTCTTTCCAATAAATAGCTAAAAATTTACATTTTAACAATTTTGTAAAACTACTATATTTTGGGGCCAAAAAGGGGTCTTACTGGGCCTACTCCTTTTAAATTGGACATTTACCTATTATGGTCCAATATCAAAAATCTATGTACATTGCTAGAATCAGCATATCAAGGAACCCCAAGAATTCAATTTATGATGAAATACTTCTTAGTAAAACCATTGCTGTTCAAAGGGAAATAACTTTATTTCCATGAACCAATAATGTAAATCTAAAATTAGATATGATTTAACTATAGTTCTCTAGAATTAGATATGATGTTATATTTATTTTCAAATTATAATCTGATATAATTAATAGTTTTCAAATAAATCTGTCACTACAATTATAATTGGGTGCTTGACAATTACCAGATGGTGTATTATCTTGATAAAAGGTGAAAATCATTTAAAAACGCTTAGTGTGATCAAACTTTATATATATGGTTAATAGTTCCCAATATTTTTTCTTTCATTTGTAACAAACTAATAAAGATCTGCAACTTATCTATGAAATTCTACAACTTTATCTACACAATGTAATGTAATGAAATATATCCTTTAATACAAATAAATTATTATCTAATGAATTTGCAAATCTGGGAACAGGATCAAGTAAAATTTAAAATTAACACACACTCAGACAATTAGTTTATACAGAATAAGAAATAAACCTACCACAAAATTGTTCAAACAATTTACCAAAGAAAAGAAGAAAAAAAATCCAAAATGTCATTTATCATTAATACAATGTCTTTTAAAAATCTTTTTAAAAATGAGTTATTTCCCTTCGTACAGAAAAGGATTAATTCATCAAAAATTGAATTTTTGGAAAAGGGCTATAACTGTCTAACAAGAAAAGCTAAAATAGTGAAAATTGAACTTGACCTTCATTTAGTCACAGGAAACAACATATCTAAATTTGAAAAAATTTCTTCAAAGCGTGTTCATGTCAAAGAACAGACACTGTTTGGCAGCAGCTAGCCCGCCCCCCGTTCATCCCCAAATCAATAACCGATTTTACTTTGAAAATCCGGTTAAAAATTGACTTTAAAGGGCAATAACTCCTTATGGGGTCAATTGACAATTTTGGTCATGCTTGACTTATTTGTAGATCTTACTTTGCTGAACAATTTTGCTGTTTACAGTTTATCTCTCTCTATTATAATTTTCATGATAATAACCAAAAACTGCAAAATTTCCTTAACATTACCAATTCAGGGGCAGCAACCCAACAATGAGTTGACTGATGCATCTGAAAATTTCAAGTCAGATAGATCTTGACCTGATGACATTTTTACACATGTCAGATTTGCTCTAAATGCTTTAGTTTCAGAGATATAAGCGAAAAACTGCATTTGACCCCCATATTCTATTTTCAGCCATGGCAGCCATCTTGGTTGATGGGCGGGGTCATCGGATACAGCTAATTAACTATATACCCTAAGGATGATTGAGGCCAAGTTTGGTTTTATTTGGCCCAGTTGTCTCAGAGGAGATTTTTGTTAAAGATAACGGACGACGGACGCCAAGTGATGAGAAAAGCTCACTTGGCCTTTTTGGGCCAGGTGAGCTAAAAAACGGACAAAATCACGGTATTTTGACAATATATTCAAAATGTCCTAACTTAGGAGCCTTTAATGTACTAGTACTCTAAAGTGGAAATTCATTTTACTGAGCAATAAGGTTTTTGAAATTGATCAACTTAAGGATGTACTTAAGTCAGGTATAGGAATTTTTGTCAGATGTTCAAACTCCTTGGTTTTTTCCTACGATACAGGATAAAAAAATTGCCCAATAACACCCATTTTTCTATTCAGATAAGACTTTAATAGGTTAAAAAAGGTCATTTACCAAAATTTAAGCAGATTCTAGATTTCTTTTCTTTCGATTTGAGACCCAAATAATACCAATGCAAATAGAAGGTAAAAGTCTGTGTCAGCCTTTTTCTGCCATTTAAAAATAAATGGGGAATGTGTCCAGATGATGCCCCCGCTTGCATATCATATAAAGTTATAAAGGGACATAACCGAAGAACGGTATAAGTGACAGTACCCAAATTTGTTACTGATCTGAGTTTTGTAGTAATAAGTATTGTGTATAAGTTTCATCATAACATTTGGTTGAGGCAAACTTATGTTTGATAACAGAAACAAAAAATTCAGCAATTTTTCCTTTTGTAAAGGGGCATAACTCTAGAACAGTAAAAGTGACACCACCAAAAGTCAAACTTGATCTGTATTTTGTTGTAATAAGCATTGTGTATAATTTTCATAACATTTGGTTGAGGCAAACTAAAATTAGAGAACGAAAACCAACTTTGGGACGTACGGACATACATACGGACGGACAAGGGTAAAACTTAATGATCCCTCCGCTACGGTAGGGGCATAAAAAATAAATATCTCAAAAAGTAGCTCCAGAACCTATCAATATTTTTAGCTTATTTTGTTCCTTAACTAATTCTCTTCCGACTTATAGTATCAATTTTAAATTCTAGATTTTTAAAATTTCACCTAAGTACATCCTTAAGAAACAAGTTGTGGTCTTTTAGATGTTTTATGATTAAGTTGAAATTCAAGGTCATATTTAGCCAATAGTGAATCATGTCCTTTATTATTGCTATTCATGCTGAAATCAAATAGTCAAACATGTCTTCTTGGTTATGCTTTTTTTTTATTCAACAACAGCCACAATTGAGTCCTTGGAAAAGATCTTTTTATAACATCAACTGATGAACAAGGATTGACAAAAAAAGCTTACTGGACCTTTTTGTTCAGATGCATTAAGAAAATTCTGTAAATTTAAATTCCCTTTTAATTAATTTACCACTAGCATGTAAGGCAGATCTTAATTCATAGGAGCTGAGTTTTCCACTGCTGTCTTTGTCAAACTCTTTAAATACACCCTGAAAAGATAAATAAAATGCTGTTTACAAAATATCTCATGACTGCAAAAGCAATAAAATAACCAGTACTTTAACAACAGCTCAGTTATCTTAAAAGTTTAACGTAAGGATATCATTAAGAGATCAGTGATATGATCACTCTTTAATTTCTAGTGAGAACCTGCCCAACTCTCATGACTGATAATTATAATACTGCTGATTGCAGATTATTACAATAGTATACAAATAGACAGGTGTGGGTCAGTAAAAGAAAAAATCAAGAAGATATGTAAAAAAACAAGAATGTGTCCATAGTACATGGATGCCCCACTTGCACTGTCATTTTCTATGTTCAGTGGACCGTGAAATTGGGGTCAAAACTCTAATTTGGCAATAAAATTAGAAAGATCATATCATAGGGAACATGTGTACTAATTTTCAAATTGACTGGACTTCAACTTCATCAACTAGAGGCTCTCAATAGCCTGTGTCGCTCACCTGATTCAACTTTTGGAAATCATGTAAAAATAGATTAAAATCATAACAGATACCCTAATAATGATTTAGGTCAAATTTGGTTTGATATTCGCCCCGTAATTTAATAAACAAGAGTGCACACGCTGAAATGTCTCGCCTTCTTTACTAATCATTGATATTATGTTGATAGTCCTAAATATAAAGCTTTATTACAACTGTCACATAAACTTAACATTAACCAAGTAAACTAAACATTGACCAATGAACCATGAAAATGAGGTCAAGGTCAGATGAACCATGCTAGGCAGGCATGTACAGCTAACAATTCTTCCATACAACAAATATAGTTGACCTATTGCTTATAGTTTAAGAAAAACAGACCAAAACACAAAAACTTAACACTGAGCAATGAACCTTGAAAATGAGGTCAAGGTCAAATAAAACCTGCGTGACTGACATATAGATCATAAAATATTTCCATACACCAAATATAGTTGAACTATTGCATATAGTATTAGAAAAAAAAACCAAAACTCAAAACTTAACTTTGACCACTGAACCATGAAAATGAGGTCAAGGTAAGATGACACCTGCCAGCTAGACATGTACACCTTACAATCATTCCATACACCAAATATAGCTGACCTATTGCATGCAGTATTAGAAAGAAAGACCAAAACTCAAAAACTTAACTTTGACCACTGAACCATGAAAATGAGGTCAAGGTCAGATGACACCTGCCAGCTAGACATGTACACCTTACAATCATTCCATAAACCAAATATAGTAGACATATTGCATACAGTATAAGAAAAACAGACCAAAACACAAAAACTTAACTATAACCACTGAACCATGAAAATGAGGTCAAGGTCAGATGACACCTGCCAGTTTGACATGTACACCTTACAGTTCTTCCATACACCGAATATACTAGACCTATTGCTTATAGTATCTGAGATATGGACTTGACCACGAAAACTTAACCTTGTTCACTGATCCATGAAATGAGGTCGAGGTCAAGTGAAAACTGTCTGACGGGCATGAGGACCTTGCAAGGTACGCACATACCAAATATAGTTATCCTATTACTTATAATAAGAGAGAATTTAACATTACAAAAAATCTGAACTTTTTTTTCAAGTAGTCACTGAACCATGAAAATGAGGTCAAGGACATTGGACATGTGACTGACGGAAACTTCGTAACATGAGGCATCCATATACAAAGTATGAAGCATCCAGGTCTTCCATCTTCTAAAATATAAAGCTTTTAAGAAGTTAGCTAACGCCGCCGCCGCCGGATCGCTATCCCTATGTCGAGCTTTCTGCGACAAAAGTCGCAGGCTCGACAAAAATCCTGGTGGCTATCTTGAACTGTAAATCGGCAACAAAGTAGCAACACTTCATCAGCACCTCATAAGGAATATTTATGCCATGTTTGGTTTCATTCCATTCAGTGCACCTCTAGATGAAGCATTTGTGATGTATTTCCCATAGGGTCTTATGTTAAACTAAGTCCCCTGCTGGCAGCCATCTTGGATGATGGATTTGCTACAAAGTAACAACACCTCATAAGGAAAATTCAAGCCATGTTTGGTTTCATTCCATTCAGTGGTTCTTCAAAAGAAGACTTTTGTATGTATTTCACATAGAGTCCTTTGTTAAACTAAGTTCCCCGCTGGCAGCCATTTTGAATGATTGATTGGCTACAAAGTAACAACACTTGGTCAGCACCTCATTAAGAACATTCATGCCATGTTTGGTTTCATTCCATTCATTGTTTCTCTAAAAGAAAACAATTGTATGTATTTCCCATAGGGTCCTATGTTAAACTAAGTCCCCGCTGGCGGCCATCTTGGATGATTGATCGCTTACAAAGTTACAACTCTTGGTCAGCACCTCAAAAGAAACATTCATACCATGTTTGGTTTCAATCCATTAAGCGGTTTTCTAGAAGAAGACATTTGTATATATTTCTCATAGGGTCCTTTGTTAAACTAAGTTCCCATTGGCAGCCATCTTGGTTGATGGATTTGCTACAAAGTAACAACACTTGGTCAGCACCTCATAAGGAACATTCCTGTCATGTTTGGTTTCATTCCATTCAGTGGTTCTCTAGAAGAAGTTCAAAATGTAAAAAGTTAACGACGATGACTGACCACGGATGCCAAGTGATGAGAAAAGCTCACTTGGCCCTTTGGGCCAAGTGAGCTAAAAACTACCTTGACCAAAAACTTTAACCACAAGAATGAGTCCAAAGTACACAGATTCCCCACTCGCACTATCATTTTCTATGTTCAGTGGATCATGAAATTGGGGTCAAAACTCTAATTTGGCATTAAAATTAGAAAGATCATATCATAGGGAACATGTGTACTATGTTTCAAGTTGATTGGACTTCATCTTCATCAAAAACTACCTTGACCAAAAACTTTAACCAATAAAATGCTCCGCTGGGGCGCAGCTTGATACGACCGCAGAGGTCGAACCCTGAACAGTTGGGGCAAGTATGGACACAACATTCAAGCTTGATACAGCACTGAATTTGGATTGTAATTAAATATTTGACACAGCATAGGTTTCTGACACAGAATGAAAGTGGTCTAAGAACTTAAAAATTTTCAATTTACCTATTCATACATGTGATGGACTGTGAAACTCAGATCAGGAGATTGGGAAATTTTGGTCAGGAGATTAGGACTCAGATCAGGAGGTTTTTAATCGACATTAATTTTGTTGTAAATGTAACCGTGTGCTGTAAAAATGGTCTTTTAAAGTGTGTTTTCTTCAACTTTCCAACCAATTTATTATGTTTATAGTACCCTTGTACTTATAAAGTTTCTCCATCTTTATATTCTACATGTTCAATCTAACATTGTTTTTTTCCAGTATGTTCTTTAAATTTTTTACTTCATATTCTATAAAACAATCATTGCAACCAGAACATTTGTTTAGCTGTCTGCAAATAGTTTTTATTTTTTTTTTTTTTCTCTTGCAAATAGTTTTTATTTGCAAACTCAGAAATTCATTCTATCTGTAAAGTTAGGGTCATAGTTATTATATAAATTTCAATTTAAGCCTTAAAAGGAAGTATAGAATCCTCAAATAATTTTCAAATTATTATTTTTTTATTTGTCCTAAGACATTTAAAATCATTCAATAACCATCCTTTTATGATTATTTGTTCAATTTATATTTTATTTATATTCTTTTAAAAATTTTCATTATCAAAAGGAAAGTAACTTAAAATAGGATAAATCAAGGGAAGTAACCCAATAAATACACAGTTTTTGTTACACAACGGCAGTTAGCCTGAGGTAAAAATCGTTGCTTACCAGTATGTTTGACACCCAAGCTGACAAGTGAAGCCATATAATTATGCATGTTAATTGATTTACAGGTAAAATATAACTTCAGGTAATGTCAGTTACACCAGATGCCTGAGATGTTATGTTGGGCAGAAATTTTTCATTCATGAAAAATTTCATACACGGGATTTTTTCAACGGGAGGGGGGGAGGAGAACCCTGAAAACGGGATTATTGTACTCCCGTCGGGAGGTTCACATGTATGCCTATTCAAACCATATCATTATTATTTGCTTTTATATATAAATCAGAAATAACCAATTTAAAATGGAAAATGTTAAAGAAAAAAAAAAATCCCCCCCCCCCAAATTTTTTGAACCCCCTTATGATTCATCGCCCCCAAACTCAATCCCAGCTTTCCCTTTGTGGTATGGTACCTTGCAGTACAATTTCAGAGAGATTCATACACTTGAACACAAGTTATTGTCTGGAAACTAGAAAAATGCTTGTTTTTTGGCCCCTTTTTGGCCCCAAATTCCTAAACGTTTAGGGCAATTACCCCCAAACTCAATTCCAGCTTTCCCTTTGTGATATGGAACCTTGCAGTACAATTTCATGAAGATCCATACACTTACACACAAGTTATTGTCCTGAAACTAGAAAAATGCATGTTTTTTTTGTCCTTTTATGGCCCCTAATTACTAAAATTTTGAGGGAAAACCCCCAAAATCAATCCCAGCCTTCCCTTTGTGATATGGAACCTTGTAGTACAATTTCATAAAGATCCTCCATACACTTACAAACAAGTTATTGTCATGAAACTAGAAAAATGCTTGTTTTTTGCCCCTTTTTGGCCCCTAATTCCTAATATTTGGAGGAAATTACCCCAAAAATCAATCCCAGTATTCCCTTTGTGATATGGAACCTTGTAGTACAATTTCATAAAGATCCATACACTTACAAACAAGTTATTGTCATGAAACTAGAAAAATGCTTGTTTTTTGCCCCTTTTTGGCCCCTAATTCCTAAAATTTGGAGACAATTACCCCCAAAATCAATCCCAGCATTCCCTTTGTGATATGGAACCTTGTGGTACAATGTCAGAGAGATCCATACACTTACACACAAGTTATGTCTGGAAGTTACAAAAATGCTTATTTTTGGCCCCTTTTGGCCCCTAATTCCTTAACTGTTAGTACCATAACCCCCAAAATCAATCCCCACCTTCCTTTTGTGGTATTGAACCTTATGGTAAAATTTCAATGAGATCCATTCACTTAAACTAAAGTTAGAGTGCGAAAACTAATGTGTATTCGGACGACGACACCGGACGACGGACGACAACGACGACGACGACGCCAACGTCATACCAATATACGACCACAAAAATTTTTTTGCGGTCGTATAAAAATGGGACAGACGGATGGATGAACGATCTGACTGACGAACGAACGGACGCACAGACCGAAAAACATAATGCCCCTAGGTGGGGCATAAAAAACAGAGTTCCAATGTCTCTCGTGTTGCACATATTTTATTTGTCCAAGAGCTATAACTTAAAAAACCTTTTTTTTGGGGGGGTTCTTTAAAACTTTTATAAATATCTTGCAGAAATGAAGACAATGCAATTATCAATATAATTATTATTTAGGAGAGGCATAACTCTTTTACAAGAGGCTGTGGAGTGACAGCAAACTGGATTTTTCCTGCAGAGCTCGAACCCTGAACAGTTGAGCAAGTATGAACACAACATCTAAGCTTAAAACAGCTCTGAATTTGGATTGTGTTCGAATTTCTAAAATAGATTGTTATCTAATTAATAATGAAAATAGATATTTGCAAATCTGAACCCCAAACAGGATCATCTAAAAATTAAACATTAACACACACAACAAAAATAAAATACCACATATCAACTGTGACATCAACCTTCATAACACACATGACTTAAAAAAAAATAGTGATAAAGAAATTTTGACAACTAATGACTAAAATTAACTGAACAGAATCCATATACTTAATATTATCATTACTGGTTCATGGAACAAGTTTGAGTTATTTCCCTTTGAACAGAAATTGTTTAACTAATAAAGCAAACATAGTTCTCTAAAATTAGATATGATTCAACCACTAAAATTAGATATGATGTAACACAATGTATATCTATTTTCAAATTATAATCAAATATAATTAATAGTTCCAAATATTTTTTCTTTCATTTGATACAATGTCTTTTAAAAATCTTTTAAAAATGAATTATTTCCCTTTCAACAGAAATGGAGTAATTATTAAGTATTTCATCAAAAATTAAATTCTTGGGAAAGGGCTATAACTCAACAACGAGAAAAGCTAAAATCGTGAAAACTGAACTTGATCTTCATTTAGTCACAGGAAACTACATATCTAAATTTGCAAATATTTCGTCAAAGCGTTTTCATGTTAATGAACGGACACTGTTTGGCAGCCGCCCTCCTGCCCGTCCGCCGTATATTACCAAATTAATAACCGATTTTTTTTTTTACAAAATCCGGTTAAAAATGCTTGTGAGGACACGAATTTGGTTCTTATCAGTGTGTATGAGTTTTATAAAATTTGGATGAGGAAAACTTAAAAGTGTGGAAACGAAAAAATTAGCAATTTTCCAAGTAATAAAGATCATTACTCATGAACAGTAAGTGACTCACTGTCCGGATTTCGAACTCTGTGAGTGTTCATTCTAAGCATTGTATATGAGTTTCATAAAATTTGCATGAGTAAAACTTAAGTTAGACTGCAGAAACGAACATTGGATGAACAGAAGGGTGGAAAGACAGAAAGACGGTCAAGGGTAACACTTAATGCCTGTGTTGCCTAAGGCAGGGGCATCATTAGTTGATCAGCACTGGTTTTCAACTTGGATGTCATTTGATAAAAATCTTTCAAGAATAGTATATGTAACACACTTTCAATGCAATTTTCCATATAATCAATATTTCCAGAACTCTTTAAAAAAAATTGATTTGCACTGATTTTCAAACTTCTCCGAGAAATTGCTAACATAAACCTTTGATATTAATATGATAAAAATCAGGCAAGCATTGTACACATGAGAACTCTTACAATGCAATTTTCGAAATAATTAACATAATTCTTTTAAAAATAGTTGATCAGCACTAATATTTTAACTCGTCCAAGACATTGCTGATATAAACCTTCGCTATTAGTTTCATAAAAATCTGGCAAGAATTCTACATGTGAGAGCGCTAAGCATACTGGACGGATGCTTGGTATTTCTATGTTCCCACGTAACGTGTCACAAGGAGGACGAAAATCTATTGATCTCTAAAAATAGGAATAATTACAAACATACCTTCCATTTTCTGAGATCTGTCCAAAGTGTCTTGAATTCATCAAATCCTAGTTTTCCAGATAAATCACCCTTCAGTTTGTCAAGGAAAATAGAAAGACTAAAGGCCCCAATGACCCTCCTTCATTCCCTAAGCATCTAATAAATAACATTGATTTAGAATTACAATTATTTGATATGATATTCTTTAGTAATGTTTTACTTGTACATGTGTTTTTGTGGTCAATAATACCAGGATTAGTGGATTACAGGTAAGTGCTTTTTTCAAACAGATTTTTTTTATAGTATATTCTACAATTTACCCTTTTGTCATACCAATGATGGCAATGATTATTTATAAATATAGACTATATAGGACAACATTGACATTATCAAATTAGAAGTTTTTCACCCAAATTCCACATGAAATGGTAATGGTAAGCACAGCAATTAGGAAAGAGGGAAACCCTCAACGCATATACATTTTTATGGGTCTAATTGACAAAAGCTAATTTATCATTAATATCATGAAATAATCTATGCACAAATCTACAGGAATAAGTAACATGATTACTCAACAATTTAAAAAAAAAAAAAAAATATTTTCATGTCTTGGGAAAGGATACATCGTGCATGGCTACCATACTGCGGCAAGCATCAACACCAAATCCATCAAAGTCGAATTCTGAAAAAGTGTGAATCAAAAGCTAAAACAGTTTGCAATTAGAACTATGACTCAAGATCCTGCTTTAATCATCATTTATACAACACTATGAATACTTTCAATTTCAATAGTCAAATGGCATATTAAGAAATATTGAATTACAGCAACATGAAATATAAATTTTGTTTGAATGATATATGGTAAAGTAGGAAGTTGATTATACAACTACAGACTAACTAGTATGATAACACAAATTAGCCAATTTATTGACAAAAACCCATATTAGTAAGTATTATAATATATTTTATAAGTATTACAATTTTACTGACTTTGCCAAATTGTTTCAGTTTTAAACTTTAGCCACAATATAAAAATATGTTACTAATTTTCGTGAACATGACACAAGTTGCTGGAATAACAATCAGCAGGTACACTTACAAAATCATGAGATCGCTATTGGAAAACCCTGTTAAAAATCGTTTTTATTTCAATCATCAGGAATATGTAATTAATTGTTTGAATGATTGTTGCTAGCTTAATGTTCAGTGGCAATATATTATTGAAGAAATAACAATACTAAAATACAGTCAATTATGAAATGATTTTGACATTAGATCAAATATTCAAAGGCTTGGAAAGTGTCATTGGTATCAGCTGTCCTACTAAACAATTGTTCAAGAATGGTGATGCTTGATCAAAAGGATTTGTATTACTTCTATACTGTTTCAAAACATGGTTAAAACAACAAAAAATCATTAAAATATTGACATCATTAGAAATCTGAATTCAAATTGATTTTTGAAGATTGCTTTGAAACCACTTATTTGATTGATTGATTGATTGATTGATTGATTGGTGATTGCTTTACGCCACATCACTGATTTGAAGATGTTGTATAAATGGAAACAAACTTGGGTTAAAAGAATTTAAACATTAAAATATCATATGTTTGCATATACAGCAAACATATGTGATTAATATGTGCAAAAGCCACTAAATAATATAAAATGAATAACAAAAAAATTAAAATCTGAGTGTAGACCATATCTAGAATTTTACATCATGTTAATAATGAATGAAATTTAAATTTTTTGTAAGCTGCTTGACTAAAGGTGTAAGATTTAAGGAACAAATTCTTATTTGTTTTTAGTGATGCAAGATTCATATAGAGAATCAGCATGGGAAAAGAAAATCTTACGGATTAGAATGTTTCTAACGGTTATATTAAGAATCTTCCAATCCTATGCATTTAGATTCTTTTATGATTACAACTTAAAGATATAGTTAAATATACACAGGTAAGTAGTACTGCATGGATTTTTTAATTTCTGTGCGTATTCAAAAAGCTTTGTCCTTTCACAATACCAATTGCTATAGTGTTTAAACAAAGTGCAGCTTGAACTGACCTCTACAAACGGATCAACTGGTATAAGGTAAAGCATTTTAGGTCATAGTGAAAGGTTATTAATATGAAGTAAGAGCAGTGAAAAAAAATAATTCTTACCATCCTAATCCTGTGATTTGCATATGTTAATTATGACAAAAGCTAGGTGTAATTGTGAGCACCTATTTGTGAGGAACTCTAAAAAAATTTGTAAAGGGTTCTACAAAACCCTATGTCTCACCTGTGAGTGTTGTTGTCATTGTAAAAGTTTAATTTTGACTGTAAAAAGTGAGTCCTTATATCAGTAAAATACAGAATTAAAAAAAAATAAAACTCTATCTTTAGATGCTATTTCTTATAGTTGAAGATTAGCTTCTGTCCAAGTTTCATAACAGTCCATGAAGGTTTACAAATTTATCATGTAAAAAATCTAATCCCAGATTGTCTGTAAATGTTAACTGCAAAACACTAAGTCCCATTGCTACTATAAGTGTAAAAGTGTAATGTTGACTATAAAAAGTGGGTCAATTTAACAGTAAAACAAGAGTGGACATGCTGAAATGTCTGGCCTGCTGTACTTATAATTGAAAATCTATATTAAGAAAGTTTTAATACAAGTATCACATACACTTAACATTATCCATGAGACATGGAAATGAGGCCAAGATATAATGAACCATGCCAGACAGACATGTATAACTTTCAAACATTCCATACACCACATATAGTGGTCCTATTACTTATAGTACCTGGAAAAGAGACCAAAGCACAAAAGATTATCATTGACCAATGAACCATGAAAATGAGGTCAAGATCATGTGAACCCTGCAAGACAGACATGTTCACCTTGCAATCATTCCATACACCAAACATAGTTGACCTATTGCTTATAGTATCTGATAAACTGACAAAACCAAATATAATTGACCTATTGCTTATAATAATTCATAAACTGACAAAATTATGAAAACTTAGAGGGAAAATCCGTGATTTTTGACTTATAATCTAAATATGTTCCTCATAACATAAAAAACACATTCACAAAGTTTTAAATTTATATTCCCTCTAATAACGGAGAAAATCAAGTATTTGTAACTTTTTTGACTGACATACGTCATTGGGTTGTGACGATTTAACTGATTTAGTGAATGCTGGGAAATATTAAAATCAGTTAAAGTCTTAATGGCTTATCGAATTTTTCCGTAATTAAAAGCGTGCAGATGACCGTTTCTTGTAGCTAGTAACCACAAAAGAAGAATGAAAGAAAATGAACACACGCGCTACGTTTTGCATTGATTAAATAAAAAATATTATGGTTCATATTTGCGATTTGATTTCATCTATTAATAGTTGTGATTTTTTGGAAATATTTATTGAAGACATTGAAGACAAACTATTTACTGATATTGAACTGAAAATATTTTTCATTTTTATTTACCTTCTAATAATTTCATTTCAACGCAAAGTCTGTGTGAATAGAATGTGTCTGTTATTTCGGAAAGGCATTGTTTATTTCTCGAATAGATGAGCATTTTGTAAAACAATTCGTTTATTTTACCTGAGGGCAATTAAGCCTCTAACGTACGCTATTACAGGTGTGAATATGTTGTCATTTTGAACCAACAGATTAACAGAAATAGCCGGAAGGGCAAGTTTAATACACCGAGATTAAATATCCGATGATGAGTTTTGTCGCAAAAGCGAGACATAGCGATCCTACATTCTGTCGGCGGCGGCGTCAACAAATATTCACTCTGTGGTTAAAGTTTTTCAAATTTCAATAACTTTCTTAAACTATCCTGGATTTCTACCAAACTTGGACAGAAGCTTGTTTATGATCATAAGATAGTATCCAGAAGTAAATTTTGTTAAAAAAAATCCTGTTTATCTGTATTTTACTCATACATAGACTTAGTTTTTCTGCCAGTTAACATTACATTCACTCTGTGGTTAAAGTTTTTCAAATTTTAATAACTTTCTTAAACTATCCTGGATTTGTACCATACTTGGACAGAAGCTTGTTTATGATCATAAGCTAGTATCTAGAAGGAAATTTTGTAAAAAAAATTTCCTGTTTTTCTGTATATTACTTATAAATGGACTAAGTCTTTCTTATTTGGTTGCTTAGCTATTCTGTCAGCTGTAAATCTAACTAACATTCACATGATGCCATAAACAACAATGGTCTACACCCAATAATATTGAATATAATGAAATAAAATTTGAAAATATATAATTATATACATTTGTGTTGTGATATTTCTTACCCATAAAGCCCTCTGATGATAAAGAAAAAGCAATGAAGAAAATGAGAGGATCTAATATATGCAGAAAGTCTTAATTGAAATGGTGTCAATTAAAAATATGTTGCACATGTAATAAAGTATTATACTACATTCAATGTAACTCATATATGTCAATATCAGTGATTGTAATGTGTGTGTGCATTAGGTGGGATTGGTATGAAGGGGGTGTCATCACGAATTCCCAGAAAAATAAACGCTGAATCCTTCTTTCCTGGACCCCTAAAAATTAATCATTAATTCCTGAGTCCTGATAAGTATAAATCCAGACCCATTGAACATTTTTGGAAGTGAGAATACAAAAACTAGAGGCTTTTAAAGAGCCGGTATTGTTGCCTACTTCAATGTCAACAAAGGTAACTTTACAACCATCTTACACCTATCCAATTTTTATTTTTAGTGACGGTCTCAGCCATAAATGATTCTTGAAGATGATTATAAATTTATCTTTTTTATGTAAGTTTTGGATCTAATGGTACTTAACACTATTTAAAATTATTTTTTTTATTAATTCTTTTTGTCAAATTATTTATTTCAGCTGCATTTGTTGCAGATTGGGTCATCAGCCAAGATGTTTTTAAGAGTAACAAATTCTAAAACATGAAAAGATATTGCTCCTTCACATGATTTTTCAGAACTGTTCAACAAATTTGCCTTTCCCAAGAACCTGTAAAAAAGATAAATTTGATACAACATTTGTACATGTCTGGCATCACAAAACTTGAGTATCATATCTAATTTATTTAAATTTCTTTAAAAACTTTAATATAAGGATCCTCTATCCACAAATAGCTCTGATTCCTTAGCTTGATATGCCTTTAATATGTAACCCCAATGAAAGTCAGATGATAAATTATCATTCTATGTTTCTTTATCATTATTATTATTCTATGTTTCTTTAACATTATTATTATTCTATGTTTCTTTATCATTTTTATTATTCTATGTTTCTTTAACATTATTATTATTCTATGTTTCTTTAACATTATAATTATTCTATGTTTCTTTTCTCATTATTATTATTCTATGTTTCTTTATCATTATTATTATTATTATTCTACAAACAATTTTTGTCATGTAATTTCTTGGGAGCTGAAAGATCAATTTAAATAAAACGTTATAGAAATGATCACCACCATGTGTTGTTACACATTTGGCTTAAAAATTAACACAAGAGTGCAATGAAATGTCTAGCCTGATTTACTGACGTACATTGATTTCATGTTGAAACTCATAAAGATAATGGTTTTACTACAAGTATCATATAAAAAAAAAACATTATCAATGATCCATGACAATGAGTTAAAGGTCAGATAAACCCTACCAGACAGACATGTACACCTTACAATAATTCCATACATCAAATATAGTTGCCCAGACAGACATGTACACCTTACAAAAATCTGTGCACCAAAAGTTAATTGACACAGTTGCTTATAGCATCTAAGAATAAACCTAGAAAGGAAAACTTTATATTGACCAACGAACAATGAAAATAAGGACAAGGTCAGATGATACATGCCAGACAGACATCGACAACTTACAGTCATTCCATGCAACAAATATAGTTGACCTATAGATTATAGTATAAATAAATGTGGATAGTGTCCACATGTGGACACAGATGATGCCCCCGCTTGCATATCATGTAGTTATAAAGGGACATAACTGAAGAACGGTAAAAATGACGCTACCCAAATTTGAACTTGATCTGAGTTTTGTGGTAATAAGCATTGTGTGTAAGTCTCATAACATTTGGTTGAGGCTAACTTAAGTAGAGAACAGAAACTAAAAATTCAGCAATTTTTCTATTTGTAAACACGCATAACTCTAGAATGGTCGTGTATAAGTTTTATAACATTTGGTTGAGGCAAACTAAAGTTAGAAAACGGAAACAAAAAATTTGTACTTGATCTTAGTTTTGTGGTAATGAATATTGTGTATAGGTTTCATAATGTTTGGTTGTGGCAAACTTAAGTTATAGAATGGAAACTAAAAATTTTGCAATCTTTCGATTTATAAGGGGCAAACCTCAATAATGGTTAAAGTGACACTACCCAAATTCAACTTGATCTGTGTTTTATCAGTGGAAGTCAAAATTAAACATTGCATTGTATAAAGCATTGATTGTAGTTGATTCAACTATAATCATGGATAAAGGAAGATAACTCCAATTTTAATAAAATGCTCCGCTGGGGCGCAGCTTCATACGACCGCAGAGATCGAACCCTGAACAGTTGGGGCAAGTATGGACACAACATTCAAGCTTGATACAGCACTGAATTTGGATTGTAATTAAATATTTGACACAGCATATGTTTCTGACACAGAATGAAAGTGGTCAAAGAACTTAAAAAATTTTAATTTACCTATTCAAACCATATCATTATTATTTGCTTTTATATATAAATCAGAAATAACCAATTTAAAATGGAAAATTTTAAAGAAAATAAAATGCTTCGCTGGGCGCAGCTTGATACGACCGCAGAGGTCGAACCCTGAACAGTTGGGGCAAGTATGGACACAACATTCAAGCTTGATACAGCTCTGAATTTGGATTGTGATTAAATATTTGACACAGCATAGGTTTCTGACACAGAGAGAAAGTGGTCTAAGAACTTCAATTTTTTTAATTTACCTATTATGGTCCAATGTCCAAAATCAAAATACATGGTTAGATTCAGCATATCAAAGAACCCCATATATTCAATTTTTGTTGAAATCAAACAAAGTTTAATTTTGGATCCCAACTTGGACAAACTTGAAAACTGGTCCAATAATCAAAAATCTAAACACATGTTTAGATTCAGCAGATCAAAGTACCCCAAGAATTCAATTTTTGTTAAAATCAAACTAAGCCTTTGGACCTTAATGTAGACCAATTTAAAAAACGGGACCCAAAATTAAAAATCTAAAAACACGGTTAGATTTGGCATATCAAAGAACCCCAATAATTCAATTTTTGATGAAATCAAACAAAGTTTAATTTTGGACCCTTTTGACCTCAATATGAACCAATTTCATAGCGGCCCCACAAATAAAAAATCTAAATACATGGTAAGATACAGCATATCAAAGAACCCCATATATTCAATTTTTGTTGAAATCAAACAAAGTTTAATTTTGGACCCCAATTTGGACCAACTTGAAAACTGGGCCAAAAATCTAAAATCTAAATACATGTTTAGATTCAGTATATCAAAGAACCCCATATATTCAATTTTTGTTGAAATCAAACAAAGTTTGAATATTGGACCCTATCTTGGACCAACTTGAAAACTGGGCCCATAATCAAAAATCTAAACACATGTTTAGATTCAGCATATCAAAGAACCCCAAGAATTCAATTTTTGTTAAAATCAAACTAAGTTTAATTTTGGACCCTTTGGACCTTAATGTAGACCAATTGAAAAAACGGGACTTAAAATTAAAAATCTTAATACACGGTTAGATTTGGCATATCAAAGAACCCTAATAATTCAATTTTTGATGAAACCAAACAAAGTTTAATTTTGGACCCTTTTGACCTCAATATGAACCAATTTGATAGTGGGCCCACAAATAAAAAATCTAAATACATGGTAAGATTCAGCATATCAAAGAACCCCATATATTCAATTTTTGTTGAAATCAAACAAAGTTTAATTTTGGACCCCAATTTGGACCAACTTGAAAACTGGGCCAAAAATCTAAAATCTAAATACATGTTTAGATTCAGCATATCAAAGAACCCATATATTCAATTTTTGTTGAAATCAAACAAAGTTTAATTTTGGACCCCAACTTGGACCAACTTGAAAACTGGGCCCATAATCAAAAATCTAAACACATGTTTAGATTCAGCATATCAAAGAACCCCAAGAATTCAATTTTTGTTAAAATCAAACTAAGTTTAATTTTGGACCCTTTGGACCTTAATGTAGACCAATTTAAAAAACGGGACCCAAAATTAAAAATCTAAATACACGGTTAGATTTGGCATATCAAAGAACCCCAATAATTCAATTTTTGATGAAATCAAACAAAGTTTAATTTGGACCCTTTTGACCTCAATATGAACCAATTTGATAGTGGGGTCCACAAATAAAAAATCTAAATACATGGTTAGATTCAGCATATCAAAGAACCCCATATATTCAATTTTTGTTGAAATCAAACAAAGTTTAATTTTGGACCCCAATTTGGACCAACTTGAAAACTGGGCCAAAAATCAAAAATCTAAAATTCAGCATATCAAAGAACCCCATATATTCAATTTTTGTTAAAATCAAACAAAGTTTAATTTTGGACCCTTTGGACCTTAATGTAGACCAATTTGAAAACTGGACCCAAAATTAAAAATCTAAATACACGGTTAGATTCGGCATAACAAATAAATAAATGTGGTCAAAGATTTTACAAATCTAATGCGCCATACTGGTCTTCCTTTATAAATATGCATTTCTTTAAACATAATTTAAAAGCAGTGTAAGGGAAGTAACCAAAACGTTGTATTTGGATTACCTCCCTTACACTGTTTTAAATTATCTTAATTGTTCATTAACCATTACTTTATACATAATTTAAAAGCAGTGTAAGGGAGATAATTTCAATGATGTATTTGATTTATCTCCCTTACACTGCTTTAAATTATGTTTTGTACTAAAGTATTTGTCCATTAATGAGGACAACCTTGTTTTTCCCCCTTTTTTGCCCCTAATTCTAAAACGGTTTGAGCAATAACCCCCCAAAGCAAATCCTAACCATCCCTTTGTGGTATGGAAACTTGTAGTATAATTTCAGAGAGATCCATACACCGTTCCACAGTTATTGTCTGGAAACTAGAAAATGCTTATTTTTGGCCCCTTTTTGGCCCCTAATTCCTTAACTGTTGGTACCATAACCCCCAAAATCACTCCCCACCTTCCTTTTGTGGTATTGAACCTTATGGTAAAATTTCATAGAGATCCATTCACTTAAACTAAAGTTAGAGTGCGAAAACTAATGCGTCTTCGGACGACGACGAGACGCCAACGTCATACCAATATACGACCACAAAAATTTTTTTGCGGTCGTATAAAAATTACTTGATACTTAGAAGAAAACAAAAATTTTGCAATTTTTCCATTTATAAAGGGGCATAACTCTAGAACGGTTAACGTGACGCCACCAAAATTAAAACTTGATCTGTGTTTTGTGGTAATAAGCATTGTGTAGAAGTTTCATAACATTTGGTTGAGGCAAACTTAAGTTAGAGAACAGAAACTAAAAATTTGGCAATTTTTCCATTTATAAAGGGGCATAACTCTAGAACGGTTAAAGTGACGCCACCAAAATTCAAACTTGATCTGTGTTTTGTGGTAATAAGCATTGTATATAAGTAACATAGCATTTGGTTGAGGCAAACTCAAGTTAGAGAACTGAAAACAATTTTGGGACGTACTGACGGACGTACAGATGGCAAGGGTAAAACTTAATGCCCCCTCCGCTACGGCGGGGGCATAAAAATGATTGATCGATTGATTGGTTGACTGTTTGTTGCTTAGCGTCCAGTGGTAAATTTTTCATGCATGTTCAGGACGAGAACAAATTCACAATAAATACAAGTATGTCCTGTAATAAAGGCCGTCAGCAATGAAGATCGGGGCATTTTTGGCCAATCGGAAGAAGACCTAAGTGACAATATTTCTATTCCCCAGTCACCCATGGGGAAAAAAATAGTCTGGAATGGTACTAACTGTAAAAAACAACCTTGTACAAGACATAATTGATGAAAATGAATATTTTGTCCTACAAAATGCAGGACTTTGCATGAAATAGTTCTATACAAAAAGTATGAAAATAATTCTCGCGCTAAATAAATAAGACGTACTATCAACTGGTGTAAAATAAATATTCTATCAGCAAAAAATCCCCCTCCCACTGAAAATCAAATGGTCCACTAAGGCTATTAAATTTAATCATATTTTTAACTGAGCATTTTTTTAGTTTTTGACATATAAATAGGTAAATAATTATAATAATTGTTATTCAATATATGTAACTTCCTTAAATATTCATAATAAAATTCATGTTCTTAATATCTAGTGTAATGTACACTTAACCCACACAAGGCCTACATTGACTATCGACTGCATGTGGTCAAAACCTGTTTAAACTACATTTAGAATATAGCAAAGTGCTCTCGACCAATGAAAGTGTAGAATTTGGTGTTCCTTAATTGTGAAGAATGAATGTAAATCATGTTCTTAGTAAGGGATTATCCTTTTGTTTAGGCCTATTTACAGTTCAAAACAGAGAAATTGTATAAATGAGTTACAACTGCCTGAAGCACATTTATTAGGATTATTGATTTAAAGTTGAATTTTGAAACAAACAAAAATGATCAAAATAAGTTTGAAGTTTACTTGTGCAGTACAATTGATACCGTTTGTGTTATCATGTGAATACTTAGAACTTTCAAATTACAAAAAAAAATAAGCATTATCAAGAAGAAAAAGAAAAAAACTTTTAAAATCAAATATAACCTAAATCTTTAGCTACATGTATTACGCTTATCAAAAGTCAAATAACTGTATTCGCAGTTAGTAAGAATAGTCATTTCCAAAATACCGTTACATACAGGAAATTGAATTTACTTTTGAATTTCCTATAAAAAGCAATTCCTTTCAAAATTCAAAATTTAGTTAATTAAGTAGTATTTAATGTAAAGAGCTGGAATAAAATTGGCTTTGGAATACAATTTAGTTGTAACTCTGATTTTGAATTTATTTAATTGAACTGTAGATAAACAAAAAGATAATTCCTTACTAAAATATTACATAATTTACACTCATACTCACAATTAGGAAACTTATACAATTTCTACAATTTCATTGTAACGTTGTGTCATCTAATGTATAAAACACAATTTATTAAAATTTCCCAAATTAAAAGTAAGTCCTTACATCACGTAAACATTGATGTTTATCAATGGGAATGTAATAGAGTTCAGTTTAAGTGTTGAGTACACTTACACCACACCGGAGTTTAGCTCAATGTGAACACGGCCTTAGTTGACCTACTACTTATAGTATATGAGAAATGGACCTAATCACGCAACTTTAACCTCTAGCACTGATTCATGAAATGGGTTCAAGGTCAGGTGAACCCTGTCTGATGGACATGTAGACCTTGCAAGAAACCAATACACCAAATATAGTTATCTTATTACTCATAATAAGTGAAAAATTCCCATAACAAACAATTATACATTTTTTTAAGCAGTCGCTGTACCATTAAAAAGGGGACAAGGACAAAGGACAGATGACAGATAAACATAATAATTATTATTTCTATATTTTGCTTTATAAATGTTTAAACCAAAAAAAATCATATTCAAATTTGTCTAATTCATAGCTAATGCTGCTTTAAAATTGCACAATTCTTAAAACTTTAGTGACTGGCTGATTGACAAAATTATATTAAATCTCTATAGAATTGACAATTCATAAGTAATCAGTTTACTTGGTAGAGAGGAAAGGAATTCCTGTAAAGATACTCAGTATTTAATATTGAAATCAATTATAGAGGATCATGTTTATTCCTTCCTTTGACCATTACTGGAGATTAACATGTCCCTGTCAAATAGTATCTAATTTCCCTTGAGATATGTACGTACCTTTTTTAAACACTGCATTTAGAATGTCCCTAAGCTCAAATGCATCAATTTCCATGTCATCCCCTGAAACTCTTTTGAAACTTCTCTTTAAAGCATCCTCTTGTTCTACTTCTTCTTCTGTTGGAGGCTTTTCCTCCTGTTACAAAAAATAAAAGAAATCTCCATTGGAACTGGAATTCTTGTTTTAATATAATGTTGAAATCTTACTGAGATATAAATAAACTCAATTCAGATATTGCTCCCTTTAATTTCCAGTTTGAAGAAATATGCAATAGAAATTTAATGTTTCATTCAACTACAAGTTTAGATTTAGCTTTTTTTTTTAAACTAAAACTGTAGCTATGAAGCATGCAGTTACATTCTTTCAATGATCAATGGAATGATCCTCCTTTTTTTTTCAGTATATGCTTAAATTCATGCAACTGGAATCACTTTTGATTACTAGAGACTAGTTCATACTGGACTGAAAGTAACAGGTGAAAAAAAGACTAAAATTATCAGTTAATATAAAATTTATAATAAGTTATCTATTCAACTAAATCTATAAAAAGTTATCTATTCAACTAAATCTTAAAAAGTTATCTATTCAACAAAATTCTGGAATGTACCTAATGCAGACAACTTTTGGCATATAAACATGCAAATATGACTTAGTAAAATAAAAAGTCCTAAATAACTCACTTAAGGTGGTATATGGGTGTCTAACACTATCTTTGATTGTAAAATAGCGAAACACAATAGATCTAGAATTTGAATTAGGTCAGCAAATTTAAACAGAAATACAACTTATTAATAACAATTTTCATTGAAATGAACAAATCAATGTGATCTTAGGTTATTATCACTAATTTTTTAACAAAAATAAATTATTTTTTTCTTGATTTCAATTTTTTTTTAAACTTTGCATATTAAGGGGAGGAAACTCAGAAAAATTTAATTTTAAAGAAATCTTCAGGAAATTTTTCTATTATATGCTAAGGCAGGAAAAAATGTTCGGTGACCCCATTTCTTCTTTTGATATTCTGAAAGCATTTTATAACAGCTATCTTCTCATATTTTATTTCAAAATTCTATCATTTAGTTTACCTTCTATTCACATTATAATGCTTTTTCTCTGTATAATCCATTCACAATGTGTCCTTTTTTCACAAGCTTTGTGACCTATCATTTTTATTATATTTTTTAACATATCACAATTTATACTACATTTTGGCAAAGTATGAAAAAATTCTATCATTTTTTGTTAACACTCATACCACCTTAAAAACAAATTTAACAAGTTTTTAGTTACTAATCTATGCACCTGTAGAAACTAAAACTCTAAATTCTAAACTCAAAAATATAACCTATGGGCTCCAAGGAGCCTGAATCAGTCACCTAACTATACCATTCCAACCTGCAAATTTCTATATCAGCGACCTAGAGATCATTGCAAACAAGTCGTAGCTGAATTGTTACAGGGTTACAAAGGAGAAGCTTTTCCTAGTAATGTTTTATTATGATCTATACTTCTCATCCAATAATTTTGCTAATCCTGCTAAGAAACAACATGTAACAAAATAAAACTTCCTACCACAGTAAATTTAGTAATTTCCTTTTGGAGCCCTGCTAGAAGGAAATTTGTTCAAAAGGTTCCTGTATCCAAATTTATCCAGCTGTTCTGGAAGAGAGGGGATGCACTCACTTAAATATTTCTGAAACTATAAAGGTTCCAAGGATCCTGAAATGTTCAACAAGAAAAAAATATTTCCATTGACACTTACGTTAAAATTGGGATACAAAATCATTTACAAAATCTTTCAAGCCCACCTTACCCTACTGTTTAATATTTACAATAGCTGTCCAACAAAATAAGCATAACGGGCTTTCAGTAACTATGAGTACTCTTAGATATGTACTTTGTGTCTTGTCTTTTTATTTTAGACTTAGCTGTTTATTTGCTTCGTGTCAATCTGATAAGTCAAGTCGTTTCACTGTCTGATTTTTACAGTTTGTTCTTATTTTGTGCTGTTACAATATAATAAAATGCTCCACTGGGCACAGCTTGATACGACCGCAGAAGTCGAACCCTGAACAGTTGGGGCAAGTATGGACACAACATTCAAGCTTGATACAGCACTGAATTTGGATTGTGATTAAATATTTGACACAGCATAGGTTTCTGACACAGAATGAATGTGGTCTAAGAACTTTAAATTTATTAATTTACCTATTCAAACCATATATCATTATTATTTGCTTTTATATATAAATAAAAAAAATAACCAATTTAAAATGGAAAATTTTAAAGAAAAAAAAATCCCCCCCCCCCCCCCCAAATTTTTTGAACCCCCTTATGATTCATCACCCCCAAACTCAATCACAGTCTTCCCTTTGTGGTATGATACCTTGCAGTACAATTTCAGAGAGATCCATACACTTGAAACTAGAAAAATGCTTGTTTTTTGGCCCCTTTTTGGACCCAAATTCCTAAACGTTTAGGGCAATTACCCCCAAACTCAAACCCAGCTTTCCCTTTGTAATATGGAACCTTGTAGTACAATTTCATAAAGATCCATACACTTACATACAAGTTATTGTCCTGAAACTAGAAAAATGCTTGTTTTTTGCCCCTTTTTGGCCCCTAATTCCTAAAATTTTGAGGCAATTACCCCCAAAATCAATCCCAGCCTTCCCTTTGTGGTATGGTACCTTGCAGTACAATTTCAGAGAGATCCATACACTAGAACACAAGTTATTGTCTGGAAACTAGAAAAATGCTTATTTTTGGCCCCTTTTTCCTAAACGTTTCGGGCAATTACCCCCAAAATCAATCCCAGCATTCCCTTTGTGATATGGAACCTTGTGGTACAATGTCAGAGAGATCCATACACTAACACACACGTTATGTCAGGAAGTTACAAAATGCTTATTTTTGGCCCCTAATTCCTTAACCTTTGGTACCATAACCCCCAAAATAAATCCCAAACTTCCTTTTGTGGTATTGAACCTTATGGTGAAATTTCATAGAGATCCATTCACTTAAACTAAAGTTAGAGTGCGAAAACCAATGTGTCTTCGGACGACGCCAACGTCATACCAATATATGACCGCAAAATTTGTTTGCGGTCGTATAAAAATAAGGAGATGTGGTATGATTGCCAATGAGACAACTATCCACCAAAGTTCAAACGAAGTGGATGTTAGCAATTATAGGCAATCATACGGCCTTAAAAAATGAGAAAAACCCATACAGTATAGATGCCAATAAAAGGCCCCGACATGAAAAATATGAAACAATTCAATTGAGAAAACTAATGGCCTAAGACTGTTCTAGGTTAGGAGAGAGCTGGGCTGTTGAAAACATGTTTAACCCTGCTGTAATTCAGTAGTTGTCATTGGTTGCTGTCTATCATATTTTTTTAAATATTTTGTGCATACTGTGGATTCATTTTTATTCGTTGGATACCAATTTTCGTGGATTTCGTGGGTACAGCTGAAACACGAAATTAAATGTTTAACGAATGTCAAATTTTCTATAGTTTTGTATGCAGACTTCGGCAAAACCACGAAATTAAATATCCACGAACATGTGATTTTTCCTTCATCCACGAAAATTTGTACCCACGAAAATAAATGAATCCACAGTAAATCAGACAGTTGGTTCTCTCATTTGAATAGTTGCATGTTTTGTTATGTTGTGGCCTTTTAAAGTGTAGTATAAGGTATGGGTTTTGCTCCCTATTGAAGGCCCTACCTTGACCTATATTTGCTTAAATGTACTTCATTTGGTCTCTGGTGGATAGTTGTCTCATAAGCAATCATACAACATCTTATTCTAATATAAACCCCAATAAAATGCTTCGCTGGGGCGCAGCTTGATACGACCGCAGAGGTCGAACCCTGAACAGTTGGGGCAAGTATGGACACAACATTCAAGCTTGATACAGCTCTGAATTTGGATTGTTATTAAATATTTGACACAGCATAGGTTTCTGACACAGAAAGAATGTGGTCTAAGAACTTGAATTTTTTTAATTTACCTATTATGGTCCAATGTCCAAAATCAAAATACATGGTTAGATTCAGCATATCAAGGAACCCCATATATTCAATTTTTGTTAAAATCAAACAAAGTTTAATTTTGGACCCCAACTTGGACAAACTTGAAAACTGGGCCCATAATCAAAAATCTAAACACATGTTTAGATTCAGCATATCAAAGAACCCCAAGAATTCAATTTTTGCTAAAATCAAACTAAGTTTAATTTTGGACCCTTTGGACCTTAATGTAGACCAATTTAAAAAACAGGACTTAAAATTAAAAATCTAAATACACGGTTAGATTTGGAATATCAAAGAACCCCAATAATTCAATTTTTGATGAAATCAAACAAAGTTTAATTTTGGACCCTTTTGACCTCAATATGAACCAATTTGATAGCGGGGCCTACAAATAAAAAATCTAAATACATGGTTAGATTCAGCATATCAAAGAACCTCATATATTCAATTTTTGTTGAAATCAAACAAAGTTTAATTTTGGACCCCAATTTGGACCAACTTGAAAACTGGGCCCATAATCAAAAATCTAAATACATGTTTAGATTCAGTATATCAAAGAACCCCATATATTCAATTTTTGTTGAAATCAAACAAAGTTTAAATATTGGACCCTATCTTGGACCAACTTGAAAACTGGGCCCATAATCAAAAATCTAAACACATGTTTAGATTCAGCATATCAAAGAACCCCAAGAATTCAATTTTTGTTAAAATCAAACTAAGTTTAATTTTGGACCCTTTGGACCTTAATGTAGACCAATTGAAAAAACGGGACTTAAAATTAAAAATCTAAATACATGGTTAGATTTGGAATATCAAAGAACCCCAATAATTCAATTTTAGATGAAATCAAACAAAGTTTAATTTTGGACCCTTTTGACCTCAATATGAACCAATTTGATAACGGGGTCCACAAATAAAAAATCTAAATACATGGTTAGATTCAGCATATCAAAGAACCCCATATATTCAATTTTTGTTGAAATCAAACAAAGTTTAATTTTGGACCCCAATTTGGACCAACTTGAAAACTGGGCCCATAATCAAAAATCTAAATACATGTTTAGATTCAGTATATCAAAGAACCCCATA